TCAGTATTTATATGTAAATAGATGGCCACTGGACAAGCACCTAAAGTCGGTTCCTGACCAGCCGGGCTGTGGCTCGTACGTTGGTTTGCGTGCAGCCAGCAGCAACAGCCTGGTTGATCAGGCTCTGATCCACCAGGAGGCCTGGGCACAGACCGGGCCGTGGGGGCGTTGACCCCTGGAACTCTCTCCAGGTAAACTCCATACTGTATTTAATAATATTTATGTCACAGAAAACGGAAAGCCTGCGTCTGCGCAGATGAGACTGGCCATCTTGGTTTTGAATTCGATACAACGCTAGTGTAATGGGAAGGAATTTTCATGCTCTAGAGGTTAAAATTGGGCTGACACCTCTCAAATAGGAGGCGAAATTGTTGGACATGCATTCCTGCATAACTTGAGATATCAGACGACTGGACAAGACAGCTCCAGGAACCTCAGATAAGCTCTCTAGATTTGTGTATAATTCTGGCCAGTGTTTTCATAAATCTAGTTAGTGAGGTTTTTCCGAGTATGATACAACTTAATATCCAGTAAAATTGGCGAGTGATATTAAGATATATTTTCCTTCTGTTATGTAATTGTGTGTGTGTATTATATATATATATATATATATATATATATATATATATATATATATATATATATATATATATATATAACCATTTATTATTTTTAATATACAGTCCACAAATTTATATATTTACCAGTATTCCTGGTGTATGTATATTTCATTTAATTAATAGGTCCAGAGCAACTTGTGGATATGACAGTGGTAGGTATCGAAGGGGGACATTTCTGCGACCTAGGTGTCCCAAATTCCTACTTGTCTATGTAACTCTGATAAATAATAATTATCTTTGTTATCATTTTCTGTTATGTATATAATGAGTTACATTCAGATAAATGCAATTTTCCACACCCCCAATGAAAAGCAGGGGTGCCACTAGCACGATAAAGAGACAACACAATAAGTGTCAGGGGCCCAAGACTGTTCAACTGCCTCCCAGCATACATAAGGGGGATTACCAATAGACCACTGGCTGTCTTCAAGATGGCTTTGGGCAGGTACCTAAAGTCAGTACCTGACCAGCTGGACTGTGGTTCGTACGTCGGTTTACGTGCAGCCATCAGTAAAAGCCTGGTTGCTCAGGTCCTGACCCACCATGAGGCCTGGTCACAGACTGGGCCACAGGGGCATTGACCCCCGAAACCCTTTCCAGGTATACACCAGTCGACTAACACCCAGGTACCCATTTTACTGTTTTGTGAACAGGGACAGCTGGTGTCTTATGGAAACACGTCCGTCCTAATGTTTTTCAGCCATACTGGGGGATCGATCCCTGAACGTCAGTGAGTGAAGCGAGTGCGGTAACGATCGAGTTAGGCACTCACAAATAGCTTCACATTTATGTAAGTTTTTTTTTAGTATTAAGTAATCTTCATGCGAAATAGTGTGTATACTATGGGCTTTTACAAAAATTATACTATTTGGGTATACTGTAATGGCTTGATGATAAAGAATTGGAATGCACAATATGTCACTTATACAGTGAAATATGTCACGTATACAGGGATATATGTCACTTATACAGGGATATATGTTACTTATACAGTGAAGTATATCACTTAAACAGTGAAGTATGTCATTTATACAGTGAATTATGTCACTTATACAGAAATGTGTCACAAGGAACGGACCGTGACCTCCGGAAGCGACTTGCTAAACTTATTCAGGAATATATGTCACTTACACAGGGATGTATGTCACTTATAGTGACATGCCACTTATACAGTGTGCACCCCACACCCATCCTGTGGGTGCTAGTTAAAAGATTAGAGTCACATAATGGGTCCAAGGACTGAGACTTGAAGTTTTGATGGCTAAACAAGTTACAGGTAATGAATTATTTATATGCTTATATCTAGTTACAATCGTAGCTTATATGTGATTCTGAATTATTGATATTACTTTATATTTTAGCAAGGTATGCTTCAATTTAAAGAAGTTAAAGTGGTTGCGAGTTATTTACAATAGGCAAAGTCTAGGTTTCCAGAATGGATGGTAATATGCCACTGTCGATAAAATACTTTGACATTTCTTGAACATCTGTGAATGAGTTGTGTCTGAATTCATTAATTTTATTGCATTCCAGCATATAATGACGCAAGGTGTGATAACCGTCCCTCTGGCAAAGTTTACATTTAGTTTTGTCTACATCAGCTTGTGATGGTGATGTAACCTTCCAGAGTTACTAGTAACCCATACAGTGATATGTGTGATCTGCCTCACTCATCTCAAAAGGAACTCATCAGACACAAATGGCCGCGAGTCTCCCTATTTATTGCTGTCTTTTGACTACCGCCCACAGGATGGGTATGGGGTTTACCTGGAGAGGGTTTCGGGGGTCAACGCCCCCGCAGCCCGGTCTGAGACCAGGCCTCATGGTGGATCAGGGCCTGATCAACCAGGCTGTTACTGCTGGCCGCATGCAAGCTGACCTATGAACCACAGCCCGGTTGGTCAGGTACTGACTTTAGGTGCCTGTCCAGTGCCTTCTTGAAGACAGCCAGGCGTCTGTTGGTAATTCCCCTTATGTATGCTGGGAGGCAACTGAACAGTCTTGGGCCCTGGACACTTACTGTGCTGTCTCTCAGGTACTCGTGGCGCCCCTGCTTTTCATTGGGAGAACGTTGCATCTCCTGCCGAGTCTTTTGCTTTCATATGGAGTGATTTTCGTGTGCAGGTTTGGTACCAATCCCTCCAGGACCTTCCAAATGTATATTATCATGTATCTCTCTCGCCTGCGTTTGAGGGAATACAGATCAAGGACCTTCAACTGTTCCCAGTAGTTCAGGTGCCTTATCGCACTTGTGTGTGTCGTGAAAGTTCTTTGTACACTCTCCAGGTCTGCAATGTCGCCAGCCTTGAAGGGGGCCGTTAGTGTACAGCAGTATTCCAGTCTAGAGAGCAATAGCGATTTGAAGAGAATCATCATGGGCTTGGCATCCCTAGTTTTGAAGGTTCTCATTATCCATCCTATCATTTTCCTAACGGATGAGGTAGATACATTGTTGTGGTCTTTGAAGGCGAGATCCTCTGAAATTATCACTCCCAGGTCCTTCACATTACTTTTCTGCTCTATTGTATGGTTAGAATTTGTGGTATACCCTGACACATTTTTAATTTCTTCAAGTTTTCCATATCAGAGTAGTTGAAATTTCTCCTCGTTGAACTTCATATCGTTTCGAGTGGCCCATTCGAAGATTTAGTTGATGTCCACTTGGAGTCTCGCGGTGTCTTCGATGGAGGTCACTGCCATGGTGATCCGGGTGTCATCCGCAAAGGAAGACACAGAGCTATGGCTTACATCTGTCTATGTCAGAAATGAGGATGAGGATGCATAATGAACATATTAAACTAACTCCCCTTCCCTCCACATAATTTATCCCCACTACTCGCTCCCTCTTATCTCCACCACACACCCTTTCCACTTCCTCTTATCCTCACCACCCCCCTCCTTTTCCTTCATGCTTACCACTCCTCCCTGTCCTTTATCTCCACCGTTCCCCAAATCTTTCCTACATCTCCCTCACTTTCCCCTCTATCTCCCTCATTACCACCACTCACCCTACCACTCCTCTTGATCCCCATCACATATTCTCTCTTCTCCCCACACAATTCCCCTCTCTCGCTACCCTCCTTTCCCCTCAGCGTGAGTGACAGCTTCTTCCTGCATTACTCCCACAAGTAATTTCCCTCCCCACCTGCCCCAGCTCTCTAGTCTAACTTCCTTATTAGTGATGCCCAGCCTCCATCCTCTCCCCACCAGCCTGCTGCATTTATCTCCACACACATCCCTGGGGCATCCAACTGTGTAACACAGCGTTGGAATATTTATTTGTCTCTTCAACATCCAATCGTCCTTTGTAAGTGCCAACCGTCCCCTTGAATATCCAGTCGTTCCCTGTAATACTAATTCGTTCCCTGGAAAATCTGAGCCTGGGGTAGGGAACCTGCGGCCTTCTAGGGCATTAAGTGCGGCATTCTGAATCAGAATTTTTCTTTGAAGTTATTATATAATAAACCGACATTTAGCAGTATATCTAATAAAAATTCCTTGAATGTGGCCTTATTAGATTACAGCAAACTTTAATACAGCCTTCCAACAAAAAGGTTCCCCACCCCTGAATTTCTAGTCTAGACTCTTGTAACATCCAGCTGTTCCTTTATAACATCCAGTTGTTCCTTGTAACATCCAGTCGTTCCTGGTAACATCCAGTCGTTCCTGGTAACATCCTGTCGTTCCTGTAACATCCAGTCGCTTCCTGGCACACTCATCCCTCTCCGCTCATTTAAAAAATGCCCCTCTTGCCTCTCACGCTATTATCTTAAAAAGTATTTATAATATTAAGACGTAGCACTCAAGGAATGTGACGTCAAAAAAATCCCTCAGGACTCAGCGTGACCTTCGGATTAAAAAAAAAAATCTTATGATGAAGAGGCTATCTTCATAAATTAATTTTCCGTGTGGGATAGACCTGAGATAGTAAGGTCCGTGTAATAACAACTCCAGCCAGACTGGAACTGGAACAAGATCTGTAAGGTTACCGTAGTGTTGAATCCACGTGGAATGCTTGACGACATTCTCAGCTCACTGAGCTTTCCAGCTCAGGGTGACAGCTTTCCTTACATAGCTCTTGTTTCTATAACTTATTTACATAAAGTGCAGTGTTAAATACAACAGTGTAGCCGGGCGATGCTGATATACTGTCTTTTGTTAAATAAAGGTATATACTATACATTTCAGTGTATATTCAGCGAGTTTATTTTCCTTTATAGGGATTAAAACATTCTTGATGTTAGTGTACAAGCGAACTGCAGCATAATTACCAACATGCACCTGAAAGGCTTTAAAGGTGACAAATTACCCTTCGTAACCCCACCCACACACTCCCCTCTGTGAGGTAGAGTAGTTAAAATATATGACAAGGTTTCTCACCGGTAGTGGTAGGTTCTCTTCCACGTATACTAGTCTGGATGAGACTGGCGCCCAAACAGCCACCAGGGAGAGCAGGAGCAGCCCTCGGCCGCCCACCCCACGAAGGCCGCCCATGGCTGGGCTACAAGGTGAGCGGGTGTGGTGGGGGAGATAGATCCTTGACGTCAGGGGAGGTCTGCCAGGTCTGCCGCTACCTGAGGCGGTGACTGAGGCAAACTCTAGTGAGCACAGCAGATTGTAAGCACCACGAGCACCTCCTTAAAGGTTCTAGTGAGCTCGAAGAGGCTCTATCAGGTAGAATTCTGGTGTCCGGTCCAGCAAGATGCCTATTGGAAAGGTTGTCAGGTGAGACGCCTGTCTGCTGCTGCGGGTACACCTGAAACAATACAAATATTATATAGTCTTAGGATCATCACCCCCTTCCCCCACCCGACTCTGTATAGGACCATGCCTACTAAATTAGAATAGAAATATTACAGGGATAAGAACTATTAGGAAATACACAGAGAAGTAAAGATAACTGCATAATGAATGGTTCACCTGCCATCTTAAATGTCAGCCATGCTGCCAGAGTGCAAAACGTTTAACAGGCTTCCTCTTAACACTCATATGAGAGGATAGTATTACCTTCCTAGGTGGTTGTGTGTCAACCTATTATCCAACATGAGTTGTACATTTTACTACCTTCAGGTGGGGTGCCTTTATGTTGGTGAAGGGATTTTCAACCAGAGAATTGGAGCTTCACTTTCCTTGAATCAGACCTGACTACCTCCCTTCAATAAGGTCCTTGAGTTACCCTCAATTTCCCTGGACCGTCTTATAGAATTCTATTCTATAAGGCGCTGTATGACCCTTAAGGGATTAGTGCTTTGCCATGAACAGAATATACACTACTAAAGAACAAAAATGTCACAATACCGTGACTGGAACAATACATAAATAACCCGCACACAGGAGACTTAAAACCTATAACGACGTTTCGCTCCCACTTGGACTGTTAATAAGTTACAGTGTGACTTGTCAATGATTGCACATGTGACTTACTCATAATAATAATTTGGGATTTTGTTACTCTTGAGTGCTTGTTCTTTCAAGAAATTCACAGTCTTGCACATCAAGCCATAAATACAACGATGAATAAGATATACGAACGTTTATATTCAAGATTTACTATGTGATCGTCAGGATTATAGTTCTATAAAAGATATTTACTATCAACTGAGACTTGAAAGCATGAACAGACTCCTGACTCAACAGACACTAGCAGCCTATTGCATAATGTGGGAGTTACATATATAAAAAAAAAAGCCTCATGCAAATGGTTTCTCCTCAGCAGCTTGAGGCTCATCAGTATAAAAGGATCCGAGTCAATTCGCAGACTCATTCCGGAGTTCTGATGTCAGGTAGATACTTGAATTCATTAAACTTAATAACTTTAGATAAACATATTTTAAATTTAGTTTTTACTTTCACAGGGAACCAATGTTATTTATGGAAGTAGGGACTAGTGGAAACCCCAGTTGGCAAGGAGAATACCACTCTAGCTGCATCAATTAATACAGACTTAAATCGTTTTAGCAAGTGGTTAGGCAAACCCACAAAAAAATGCAAAAAAAAAAAAAAAAAAAAAAAAAGATAAATTTGAGGGGAAACAAAGGCATGGATAAGGACCAAGATACTCTGCTTATTACGCCATTTTCTGACTGCACAGAGATTACGTATATAAAAACTGCAAGATATAACAATTTGGTTGATGGGTCCAGCAAATGGCAATGAAGAATCCTGGTAGATACCCAGGTCCCTCACTGATCCCACAGGTTGCAAAATGACAGTACCACAAAGGTACCAAAATCTCCAATCTGTAAGGTCACATGGATAGTTGTGCGAGAAACTTAATGGATATATCATTACAGAGCACGAATACTTTAGCCTTATGTAAACATTCTGTGTTTGCTACTAATTACTTAAGTATTATGTAAATTTAAAAGTCTGCTCTTTGTAAGCGGGACACAAGAGTATTATAAAATATAATGCACAATGTATAAGACACTGCTTCGAATAAACATGTTCTAAGTAAAAGAATTTTTCCAATCCTTCCTTTAGCATAGATTTATTGACTGACGGACTGATGGTCATAATATATATATTGTCTCACCTTGCGACAGCAGCGTCATAAAAAATGTATCCTGCAAACTAATTTTCTTGTGTTGTTTCTTTAAACAACACAAAAAAACAGCTCTTGAAAATCAGAAGCTCCTCACATACATCAAGGGAATATTACTCTATGACGAAATCTTAAATTTTTAGTATCTCCATGGAGGAAACGGGATCTTAAAAACCAAGACAAAAACTTACCAGCCTTGTATGAAGGATATTTGTGATAGAGTCGGCATGAGGTATTTGTTTCCTTTCATGTAAATGTAAATTTGTTACGGTGACTCGTAAGTATAGAACAATAAATTTATCAGGGAAAAATATGAACATTTCTCCTCACTCGGGTCTTAGTAGTATGATGGCCCTCTTAAAGGAGTTTCTGGTAATCTGACCGAGAACTTCCGTTGGCTTTCTTGTCCACCCCGTAATATACCTAGAGGGGGTTTCGGGGGTCAATGCCCCTGCGGCTCGGTCTGAGACCAGGCCTCACGGTAGATCAGGGTCTGATCAACCAGTCTGTTACTGTTGGCCACACGCAAATTGACGTACAAACAGCCCGGCTGGTTAGGGACTTTAGGTGCCTGTCCAGTACCTTCTTGACGACAGCCAGGGGTCTATTGGTAATCCCCCTTACGTATGCTGGGAGGCAGTTGAACAGTCTTGGGCCCCTGACACTTATTGTGTTGTCTGTCAGCGTACTCATGGCACCCGTGCTTTTCATTGGGGGAATGTTGCATCTCCTGCCGAGTCTTGCTTTCGTAGGGAGTGATTTTCGTGTGCAAGTTTGGTACTACTCCCTCTAGATTTTTCGAAGTGTATATTATCATGCATCTCTCTCGCCTATGTTCCAGGGAATACAAATCAAGGGACTTCAACCGTTCCCAGTGCCTTATAGTACTTATGTGTGCCTTATAGTACTTATGTGTGCCTTATAGTACTTATGTGTGCCTTATAGTACTTATGTGTGCCTTATAGTACTTATGTGTGCCGTGAAAGTTCTTTCTACACTTTCCAGGTCAGCAATTTCGCCTGCCTTGAAGGAGACAGTGTACAGCAGTATTCCAGCCTAGAGAGCACAAGCGATTTGAAGAGAATCATGGGCTTGGGGTCCCTAGTTTTGAAGGTTCTCATTATTCATTCTATCATTTTCCTAGCTGATGCGGTAGATACATTGTTGTGGTCTTTGAAGGCGTGACAAAATCAGTTGTAAACATAGCTTTTTCACCTCATATAAAATTATGAATCGCAACACAGTAGTACCGTCAAGAAACATGACAAGTGCTTATTGCACGTGTCTTTCATAAATAATGATTTGTAACTGGTACAGCATTCGCTGACTCACCCCAGCTAGGTTCTACACCTCAATCAAAAAGAGGATCATTACTTAGCAGTACGCTAAAATAATGATATCCTTACAAGGAAATTAAGGCAAAACGACTGGGGCCCGAAGGTAGGAACATCCTAGTCCAATGAGATGCGCAAATAACTGAAGACAAGCAAGCATGGTTCCAGAAGGTCGCCTTATTTTCCAGCGTCATCGCCTTTGTTTTTTGCTTGTTGACTAATCCCCCACTTAACTAGAACCTGGACGTTTCTCAGAATTAATGCAGCAATATGAGACTATAAAGTGTAGCTAGAACTGTGTGTAATGTGTGTTAACCCGGAGACTTGATATTTTCCAATATCGGAAGTGATGCGAATGTTTGTCCATGTTCACTGTCTTTACGACTGTGGAATCTTTTTACATAATTTCCTAAATGCAGAACATATGAATGAACAATACAATAACTGTGTAATAAATTATGATACTGTTTGGACCCTTCGAGAAATTTCGAGGGAGGGGGTGGAGAACAGCCAGTAGGGAGATGCTATTTTTAATTTGTGAGCACTGGTTGTCATGGGAAATTCTGCCAATAATTCGGCGTTTTCCGAGGCCTAATGAGGTGTTTTGGCCTGAACTTGTAATAGGAACCCGTGTTAATGTCCCCTGCTGAAGAATTGGGACAGGAAATTTGCAGTATCTCAAGAATTGTGTGTGGAGGATGGAAAAATAAGACAATTCTTCTAGGACCACCCCTCAGCTAAGTGACGCCTATCCATAATATACAGTAGATTTTGCATTGGCCATCGTAAATTATATCTGCCAGAGGTAAGGTTAGAATGTGTTCCATCAGCATTAAGTGTCTTCCAGTAATTAAATAGTGGGTATTAATATAAAAATTTCTAATAATTGTAGGTATAGTGCTTTTAATAATTACAGATACTGTTAATTAGAAATTTTACTGTCTCTGTGTATTAGTGTTCCCATTAATCATTTCTGGAGATCAAGTCCTGAAATTGTCATACAGCCCACTGAATTTTAATTTTGCCAGAGCAGCTGGTTTTAAATTTTATAATTATTAATTTAATGCCAGGTTTAGCTTTTTGTGAGAGTGGTGAAGTGGGCTAGTCGAAGGAGTTGCAGTTCAGTGACCTACTGTGACTAAGTCCCACTTACCTCACCCAGATTCCTTGCAAGTAATAATTCAGGTAAGGCCTGTAAACCTCGTGCAGGTAATTTGCTCACATAATAACAACAATAATAATTTTCACAACGGTAGTCATTAACTATTTTGTTATTTTTTTCCGTATTGCTATTCACGCATAATTGAGAATATATAGTTTATAAACACAGAAAGGTTAATGAGACCCTACTGTAATCACCTGCGGTGATTACAGTACAAAGGAACAACCCTCATTGGGTATTGTCAGCAGGTGCCACAGTCTGCGCGTTGCTGCAATATTGTTTATAACCCTCTTTCCCACCATCAACAACCTTAGTGATTGCTGTAAGCTTTTGTCCTTCAAAGCCTGATGATGTAGAAGAGGGCTATAAAACAAACAACTTTCAGAAACGTCACAGACTGTGGCACCTACTTATATTACTCAATGAGGGTTGTTTTCTTCTATTGTAATTATCACTGTACAATGGCAGTGTAGGCTTTGCATACATTCAGCTTCGGGTTCAAGTCCCGTCTTTTTATTTATGCAATCATTAAACATTCGTCTCTCAACCACTGGGAAGAGAGGATGCTTCTTGAGTCTCCCTACACGCCACCTGGTGGTGACTGCTTGACTTAGGCACCAATATGGCGGATCGTATCAGCCGGAGAGTGAATACTGTCTGTATTGAATTAGTTCGAGGAACATTAAGCAGTGCAACGATGAATGTACTGTTATCGG